AAACTCTTAATGTCAGTACCTCTTTTGTCTCCTCTCGGGTATACTGGAGTCATTCCTAAGAATCAAGTCAGATCCTGTAGGTTCTACATTTTGAAGCTCTTTTACAAGTCCTGGCTGGCATTGACTCAAAAGGCAGCTATCTGACGACACAATTTCAGTAAGATCAGCAGTGAGGAGAAAACATCAGGTATGGGTTCTAACCTTTCTTTAGCGATAACACTAGATGCTCCTTCATTCATTCAACAAACATTAATTGAGCACCTATTGCGTACCAGATGTTGTGCTAGGTGCTAGGGCTACAACTGTGAATTAGATAGATAAGGTCCAACATCTCACAGGACTCACATTCTCATGTGGGTGTGTATATGTAAGTATGTAGACACTGTGTAGAGGAAGAAAGGGAAAACCATGAGAAAGTAGAGTCTCTTAAAGATTCAATTCCTCCTCTGAAAAAAAATGGGATAATAAAAGCATCTACTTATAAGGTTGTTGTGAGGAGAAGTGCGCAAATATATTATTTAAAATGCTAATGGAAACTTCAAACCATCAGAACACAGTAAATACCTTCGATGCTCTGGGGGCCCACAAGATTCATGGCCTGGTGAGCTGGATATTCCACTCGAGGCCTGGCAATGCCCAATTGCTCCATAACGCCGTGAAGCAGCCTCTGGATATCTGTTTCTGAGACCCTGTCAGGGGTCCGGGGGCTGTAGGCAAATGCTGGAGTCCATCCCGATGCCAGCCAAAACAGTAAGCCAGATAGCATGGTAGAGACCATCCTGGAGACCATTTTTAACCTGCAGATAAAAGACCAAATGTATACTGACTGGCTACAATCAGCAATTGTGATAATACAATTATAATGATGCAACTACTCCAGGTTGTGGTTCAAGGACCACCCAGAAAGAGGATGTAATTTAAAAATCCTTAGCAGGTTGCTTCTGTCTTAAGTTTCCATGCTAGGCAGAACATCATTGAAGAAAGGTATTAAACAAAACAGTTGCAGGTATCCAATTCCTTCTGTTTGCGTTCTTGGGAAAGCTAGGCTGGAATGGCGGTTCTTACTCATAATTTTTATCCTCCTTGTAGCTCCCTGAAAGTTCTGCCTTACTCCTAACTTCATCACTCTCTCCCTCTCTTACTAAAACAAATAAACCAAACTTGCCTCAATTTTGAGAAAGAGATAGTGGCATCTTGTGTTTTCCCAGTCCCAGGGAAGAAAAGGCTAACAGGAGGGAATCAGGAAGACACAAATGGTAAAGAAGCTCAGGCAGGTTGGGAGTGGTAGCAGGAAAACATTTTAGTTTAGCAAACATCCAATACGTTTGAGATCCTGAAAGGAAGGAAAATGTTGCTTAGATCCCGCCCTGCAATCTGCTGGGGTAGTTTGAGGTATGTTTACTCAGCCACATGCTGAGTGATCGTGGGCAAATCCCTCAGTTTAACCCTCTGCAAAACGGAGATGATAAAAGCATTTACCTTATAGGGTTGTTGTGATACATGTTAAGAGTGTTTAGGACAATGCCAGGCACAGAATGAGCCCCTATACTGCTATTATTATGTTGGTAACATTGCCTTACAGTTCTGGAGGTTAGAATTCGGGGAGGCAGTGGTGGTCAGAGGGAGAAAACTAGCCTGAGGGTCAGCCTGTCCTAAATGTTGGTTTCTATGGGTATGTCTGCAAAACAAGGGAACATTATCCTTGCAGCTTACCCGACAGCTGCTTAACCTGTTGGGATGGATGCTTCAGGCAGCAGCCTTGCAAATGCCTTTTTTTTTTTTTTTTTAACACTCTTGTTGCACTCACTGCAACCTCCACCTCCCGGGTTCAAGCGATTCTCCTGCCTCATCCTCCCGAGTAGCTGGGATTACAGGCGCCCACAACCACACCCGGCTAATTTTGTATTTTTAATAGAGGCGGGGTTTCACCATATTGGTCAGGCTGGTCTCGAACTCCCGACCTTAGGTGATCCACCCCTCCTCGGCCTTCCAAAGCGCTAGGATTACAGGCCTGAGCCACCATGCCCTGCGCAAATCCTCCTTCTAATCATTCTTCTACTGGGGATGGGGGATGGGGGATGGAGAGATGGGAGGAGGCAAAATTGTGCATTTCCTTTACTGAAACTAAAATTTTTATACCCTCCAATTTCTTTTTCTGCAAAAAAAAAAAAAAAAAGGCCTATTTCTAGTCACTAGATATAAATCCTCGCTCTCTAAAGAGCTGGGAATAGCTATTTTAACAGCAAAATCTGCAATTCTGATGGAAAAGGCAGGAGGCAGGCACGAGGCTCTCCATCTCCATCTTTCCCTTGTCCACTCTGAATGCAGTCTTTCACTTCCTTTCCAACAAAAGCCGCTCTGATTTGATGAACTGCCCAATCTCCTCCCTCAGTACTCCCTTCTCCTTACTGATAACCAAACATTCTAATCCCCTACCCATCCTTTGTCTGACCCCAGCCTCTACCTCGAGGATTTTAGCAGGACGCCCTCCCCGACTGGCGATACCAAATCTCGGGTTGGCAGCAGGCGGCCGAGCCGACATCAAAGCTGTACTCACCGAGGAGCAGCCAGAGGAGCCTACTGCGGTATGGGCCCTGGTGGGGGTCAGGCCAGGAGCGGGCGAACTGGAGAGCTCCTGCGTCACCTTCCTCCGCATCTTAGCTCCGCCCCGGCCCCTCCTCCAGCAGGTGGAAGTTAACTCGCCAGGCGTCCGCAGACTGCATCCCAGATAAGTGAGCCTCTAACCGGGAGCCGCACAGCTCTTCAACCCACACATTCTGCATACAAACCTCTAGACTACGACATTTCCTTCAGCTCCATCGACCTCTGTGGCAGTCATTCACCTCCTTTCTCAATCTCAATTACAATGTGCCAGATCGCCACTATAGCACACCTTTAATTTTGCCAACTTCTAGAATGTGTTTTTTTTTTGTTTTTGTTTTCAAAGTCTTTTAGCTTCAAGATGGAAGAGGCAATGAATGGTAGAGGCACAGAAGATGAAGTCCTAAGAACTTTTAATGGTGGCTATGATAAGGTATACCCTGCTCTGAGGGGCCTCTTACTGATCAGGAAAACTATGAGGACATTTAATACAAGAAGCTAGAAACTTTCATTAAAGTGATAAACTTGAACATCTGTAGAAATATCAGCTCTGAGTGTTATTTCTAAAATTCCACACAAACCATCAAGTGAAATTCCACTTTGGCCTGAAGAGAAACCATACTCCCAGCATACTGTAGAAGTATGTCCAGCTAGTCCCAGATTCTTAAATGAGGGTTTATGGAGCACCTACTATGTGCAATGTTGAACACTGAAATTTGTTCAAATACTAAAATCGACATATAAAGCCACACAATAAATATGGCACTGCAAATTTCATCAAGACGGAGAATGAGTGAAGTACCTGGGAAGGAGGGGGTCTCAAAATCCAGATCTATTTATCTTAGCTCTAGACAGCAAATCCATTGTCATCTACAGCAATTTTATGCAATGAATAGAGGCTGGCAAAATTCAATTATGAGACACATGGCCTTTCATTTTGAAGTCAAGTCTCTTTCTCAGTATTTTTTCTTCCATGGATGCTCTTCTGCTTCTTGCATTTTGTTTCAATGCATGCTAAACTCGACAGGAGAAACACTATCTATTAAATGGCTCTAGGCTTACTGGCCATGCTGGAGTTAGTATTTATTATTGATGCATAGAGCCTTTTTAAATTCTGAATTTACTTTAGCTATGTTCCATTGTTATCTTCATTTTGTGGTTGGAAAAAAGGAAGTCACTACAATTTACTGGTTTTGTGTTGAATTTAATTGAAATACATCAAAATGCCTATGCTTCATCTGAAATTTGTTTTTTTGTTTTTTTTTTTTTGAGACAGTCTTGCTCTGTTGCCCAGGCTGGAGTGCAGAGGCGCGATCTCGGCTCACTGCAAGCTCCGCCTCCCGGGTTCACGCCATTCTCCTGCCTCAGCCTCCCAAGTAGCTGGGACTACAGGTGCCGGCCACCGCGCCCGACTAATTTTTTTTTGTATTTTTAGTAGAAACAGGGTTTCACCGTGTTAGCCAGGATGGTCTCGATCTCCTGACCTCGTGATCCGCCCACCTCAGCCTCCAAAAGTGCTGGGATTACAGGCGTGAGCCACCATGGCTGGCCGAAATTTAGTATTTCAAAAATATAACTTCATATATATTTAAGAGATCACAGAGGCCGGGTGCGGTGGCTCAGGCCTGTAATCCCAGCACTTTGGGAGGCCAAGGCGGGCGGATCACGAGGTCAGGAGTTCGAGATCAGCCTGGCCAATGTGGCAAAACCCTGTCTCTACTAAAAATACAAAAATTGGCCGGGCGCGGTGGCTCAAGCCTGTAATCCCAGCACTTTGGGAGGCCGAGACGGGCGGATCACGAGGTCAGGAGATCGAGACCATCCTGGCTAACACAGTGAAACCCCGTCTCTACTAAAAAATACAAAAAACTAGCCGGGCGAGGTGGCGGGCGCCTGTAGTCCCAGCTACTCGGGAGGCTGAGGCAGGAGAATGGCGTAAATCCGGGAGACGGAGCTTGCAGTGAGCTGAGATCTGGCCACTGCACTCCAGCCTGGGCCACAGAGTGAGATTCCGCCTCAAAAAAATAAAAAATAAAAAATAATAATAATAATAATAATAATACAAAAATTAGCCCGGTGTGGTGATGCATGCCTGTAATCCCAACTACTCTGGAGGCTGAGGCAGAAGAATCGCTTGAACCCGGGAGATGGAGGTTGCAGTGAGCCGAGATTGTGCCACTGCACTCCACCCTGGGCAACACAGCGAGACTCCGTCTCAACAAAAAACCCAACAAAACAAACAAAAAAACAGATCACAAAATTAAGGTTTAAATTCTGCCACAATTTAAAAAACATGATTATTAAAATCCTACATTAAGTTCTTAGTGATCATATTATAAAATGTGGTTGAACAGTCTATTAAGTTCTATGTATTATTTGTTGCTTATTAGATAACCAAATTAATATTCGATCTTTATTTACATTAATAAGACACAGAAAAGAACCCATGCGGTTACTGCACATGTCCAGACACTTTTAACTTTGTAAAGTGTATTTATACACTTTCTTCAAATATCCCATGAAGTTAGCAACATTATCTCTATTTTGTGTAAGAAAAAATAAAAACACATTAAATCAAGTCTAAAACAACACTTTTCTGACTCTCTAGTTACCGTATCTTCAAGCTATTCACCTTCATATTCCTGTAATACTTTGTATTGCAGCTTTCAGCTAACAAAAATAGTAGTCACATGTGGCAGTTTTTTTTTTTAAACAGACATTTTTCATTATTGATTCATCTCTCAGAAAAGCCAGTTCAGGTAGTATGTACAGTTAAACCCCTAGGACTTCTTAACTGAATTAGCCTTCAAATTCAACATTTCATCTTTCCCTTGGATATAAAAAGACATTAATGCATTTTTAAAATTTAAAAATTGTTTAAAGCAGATAATATATATGAGTATATGAATATTTTGTCTCTACTTACAATTAGAAATACCATAAACATCTACAAACCTATTTGATATCAAATAAACAAAGTAGACCCTAGCCAAGCAAATATCCAATGATCTGAAATTCCTCGTCCATACTTATGCTGTAAGTCTGGTTGCTCTGAGTGGCATGAATGCTGCTCTAATCTGCTCCAACATCTAAACATGACATTCTAACAACTTATCTGAAAAACTATCTTTAGTGGTTGATTCTGTCTGCTTATTCCTTTCTCTACAACCTAGAGAATATGTTCTATTGTTCATAATACTCCTTCCTCAAAGACGTGTAATTTGTAATAATTTAAAATATAAATTTAGACAGATTTGCTTGACAAGTTGGTGCATGTTCTAAATGGCACTTTGAATTTCATGACAGCCTTAGTCAAGTCATTTTCCAGAGAGTTATCTTTAATGTCTATGCTAAATAAATAACATTTACACACAGGACAAAATCATCATAGGTTTTTATCCAAGTAAAAAAGGTTAAAGAGGTACATCTACTATTTCAAATTCCAAAATCAAGCATCTACATATAAGAAATCACCTTGATTAATTTTTTTCAAGATTATCCCTCTTTAAATAATTGCCAAATCTATATTGGACAAAACAGATACAAATGTATTTGTGCAAATTGTCTTTAAAATCGTAGTATGGCTTAAAAGTTATCAATTATTTCTGCATCATAATATGTGAACATACTTTAGTCATTACTCCATCTTAGTCATTTGTTCTTTGTTCAAGTGAACACATGGTACACCTACAGGCAACATAAATGAAATTACTCTGCCCCAAATAAAAATAGAATATTAGGATGCTATTGAAGGAAATTAATTTCTAGGAATTTTGGCAAGGACAAACATTAATATAATTCCAGACATAAGATTTGCAGGGTTTATCTCTACCCTTTACATGCTAGAAATTTATTTTAGAAACCTTATCTGACTTGAGGAAATAGGCACAACTTGCTCCATTCTTCCTATCACACAAAAATATCATGTAATTTTCAAAAATTAACTTCTTATAAATCCAGTCAACAATTTCTTTAGAAAGGTAAAGTTTAACTTCTGCTTTAAGAGATCACAATAAAATTTAAGTTTAAAAATTGCCATCATTAAGAAAAACAAGTAATTTGTACAAATAAAAATCCAAGTTGCTTGTACAGTGAAATAAAAACGTTTCAGAGCAAATCTATTGCTTAATAATCATCCTGAGCTACAAACTAACATGTAGATTATCCTGCAAGTCATACCATCAACTGCTCACTTTATTTACATTAATGACAAGTATAACATTTACCAATTACAAGTCTACAGGTTTACTTGTTGGTAGTAATTGAGTTTTTCCGATAGGATGTTTTGGAGAACCTTTGTACCAGGCCCTTTCTCTTTCTGATGGTCTCCTAAGGACCCTGTTATTTATCCCAGAAGAAATGCCTATATTGTTATTTACAACCGGTTTTAATATATCATGATTAGTCAGATCATCCAAGGGAAGCTTAACTTGGCCATCAGATAACATCTTCTGTTTACAAACTGTAGTAGACCCAAGAGAAGCATTCACTGAATCTGGGTGCTTCTTCATCTTTAAGAAAGATTTCGAAGGTAACTCCACGCTTGACTTTGAAATCGCATCAATATTTGACTCTTCACATGACATGGACTTCCGTTCTTTAGGACCTGATTCGATACATGAAACAGAGGAATCGTTTGATGTACTTTCCATACAAGAGGAAAGAGCACCGTCACAGCTCACTGATTTAACCAGAGGAGAAGCTGTATCACCAAGACTCGCCAACTTACGCCCTATAGGCTGTCTGCTATACTCCAACAAAGAATTAATTCTTCTGACAGACTGACGAACAGGAGTACGCTGAAACTTAAGAGGTGACTTGACTTTCGTTCTATTTGGTTCATTTAAAGAAAGCTTGTTAAACCACTGTATGTGATCAGAAACCTTTCTATGTTCTGTCATTTGTAAACTTGCAGAAACTGTTGTCTCACATGTTTCCAGTGGCTGCTGTTTGGCAATTCTCACAGGCCTAGGTTTTGACAAGTTTGTTATAACACATGTACTCTGCTGTGAGAAAGAGGCTCTAGTCTTGTCCTTGCTATGTGCTGCACACTTTGGTAAGTTACCTTCAATCACATTCTCATTCTCCTTTAATTTATTATTCAGTTTATCCTTTGGGGACTGCTGTTTCTTTATTTGTTCATCACTGGGGAATTCTTCCTTGCTTAAATAATCTTTTGGCATATTTGAATGAATGTCTTTTTCATGTTCCATCTTCATCTGAGTTGAATAACATTTTATAGTTGCTTCTCTATCAAATGTTTGAGTTTTAAGGGGTGAAAAGTCCCTCTCTGAAAACCATTTTTCACCTTTACCAGTGTGGTGTTCATATTTCTCCTTTGATTCTACTACAGTCAAATCATTAGTTTCAAATAGATTTTCCACTGGGCTATCTTCTAAATAAGATGGTTCAGTTAATTTTACTTTTCCCACATTAGGTACTGATGACTGCCTGTGATTCATCAATGCATGAAGATTACTTCCAGATTCAGAAAATGCTTTTTGAACTTTCACCAAAGTCTCTTTGGTCACGTTATTTTCATCCCCACTAAGAGGGCTACTTGTTATGTTGCTATTATGCTTACTGTTTAAATTGGAAGGGATGAGTTCACATGAAGTAGCAGGTGACTTTTCAACCATGACATCAGGCTCCAAAGAGTTTTCTACCTCAAGATTTTCCACCATTGAAGAAGCTTCATTTGTATCTACTTCTTGAAAACTTGAATTATTAGGTCCTGTCCAAGACATCTGGTAATTTGTTCCAACTAGTCGCTCTGGAGTTAGTAAGTTTTCCTCAGACTTACTGATCTTTTGTGAACCTAAAATAAAGCAATTTAGTGCTTAATCCTTTGTATTTAACCTTGTTTTGAAATAATATCCAAGCACATGGCAAATAAGTCACTAAGCATTTAATTCTAATAAAGTATTTGTGTTATAAGAAATAATTTTTAACATAAGAATGTCAAACATTTTCATATTTACATGTATAAGCATTTCCCAATTGTTGATATAAAAATACATTGCCAATTCTAATATTTTCACTATTCAAACATGAACTTCTAATCTCTAGAACAGTAAATTAATTAATATATTTTATCATTAAAAAAGCAACTAAAGCAGGATTTTTAGGTAAAACTCTTAACAGTAGTATGTAAATGTACCTTTCTTTGGCAACTTTTCATCAACATCTGGGCTAAAAAGCAAACCTGTTTTTACAGATTCAATTCGATTTTTTAAACTTTGTTGATTTGCAAGTCGCTGACCAACACTTTCATATCTACTGACACCAGAACATCCATTCTGTACGGAAAAAAAAAAGTTTTAGTTAAGAAATAAGCCTAGTTAACTGAAAATATAAAGACAGAATAATTTTTTTGTAGTTATCAAAATCTTTAGCTGATTTAAAAAGAGATATATAATTGAGAAACAATTCTTAACAATGACAAATATTCTTGCCTGCTAATGAAAACTGTGATCATTTGATTTTGCTATTAGTTGGTATTTTATGATCTACTTTTAAAACAGTTTGACATATTAATTAAAATAATTTTTGTGTGTGTTCTGACTCTGTGCTAGGGCCTGTTCACAAATAGTTGGGGCAGTGGGGTACCTAGACCAAAATCTTATCCTTATGTAATTTACACTCTATTTAGATGGGGAAATTTAGACTTAAATAAGATAAACAGTAAATTATATTGCATAAATACAATACACAAGGTGAAAAGTGCTATGGAGAAAAGTAAAACAGGGTAAAAAGGATATGGAGTGGTGAAGAATGGAGGTTTAGTTTAAAATAGGGTGATGAGAAGATGATTTGGGAGTAAAACAAAACAAAGGCGAGAGCCACGAAGATTTCAGGGGGAAGAACATTACAGTAAGAGCAGAATGCCAGTGCAGTCTCAGACTGGAGCAGAGTGAGCAAAGGGGACTGGAGAAGAGCTCAGAAATGCAGCCTTAGAACAGATCACGTGAGGCATTGCAGGTCAACGTGAGAACTGTGGCTTTTATTCAGAGTGAAATGAGGAGTCACTGGAGAGTTCTGAGCAGAGACTACATAACCTAACAGATTTTAAAAGAGCAATTTCAGCTACAGAACTGCAGCAAGGGTAAGAGAAGGTAAAACTATTAATAGGAATTTACTAGAGTAATCCAGCAGAAAGATGACGGAACTTAGAGAAAGTGGGAAAAGTAGTAATAGTGAGAACTGGTCAGTTTGGACATACTCTAAAAGCAGAAGTTAGACAATATTCTCTAACGGTTTAGACATGGTGTGTCGGAGAAAGTGAGGAATCAAGGATGTGACCATGGTTTTTGGCTTAAGTGACTGGAAGAACGATTTGCCATAACTGAGATAGGGAAAACCACAGGTAAAAGTGGTGTTTGGTGCAGGGGATAGCAGCAGCAAAGAAATGCATCTGCTTGGGACAGGTTACATTTGAAATGCCTATTGGATTAGATATCCAAGTAGGAGAGTCAAAAAAGCAGATGTTCAGAAACAGTCAAGTCGTTCAGAAGAGCATTTGGGATTAGAGAACATAAACTTGGAAGTTTTAAGTAAATACAGGTTGGGCATTCCAAATCTGAAAAGCCAAAATTCTGGATGCTCCAAAATCCAAAGCTTTTAAGCATTTGACATGATGCTCAAAGAAAATGCTCACTGGAGCATTCCAGATTTTCAGATTAGGGATGTTGAACTGGCAAAAATAATGTAAATATTCCAAAATTCACCCCAAAAATGGGGAATCTGAAATACTTCTGGTCTCAAGCTACTCAACCTGTATATGTTTAAAACTGATGATCGCCTTAAGTAAGTAAAGAGAAAAAAGAGAAGTCCAAGGACTAAGCTTTGGGTATTCCAATGCAAGGACATTTGATATCAACTCAAGTGTAAGAGTTTTGTATAAAAAGAATAGAATGTGACAGTCACTGGAGGGAAGGCAGGGTTATGAGTGTTTTTTAGTGTCAAGTTTATAGCATTATGCTAATATAAAGATCAATAAAATGGTAAGAAACTTACTACATCTCTGCCATTTTTCCCTAGATTGAATTTCAAACGAAGAGATCTTCGAACCTTTTCTTTATGGCTGAGTTTAGGAGAAAAGCAGCCTGCTTTTCCTGATTCTACTCTAGAAGTGGAATTAAAAATGTCAGTTTATAGTATAAACACCAGAGAAATACATGAAATATCAAATTTGAAATAAAGTCCACAGCAAATCATACTGATAATAATTGGGTGGATTAATAATTCTTTAAAAACAGTTCAACTTTAAGATACCATATATGAACACATTATATTTGCATATAAAAATGATCTCTTAATCTTAAAAGTTATTTAGTCAGTTATAAATCAGAATTGTTAGAATAGGCTAGCTTTTTAACCTAACAGGAATTTTTTTGTTTGTTTCTTTTTGAGACAGGGTCTGACGCTGTGGCCCAGGCTGGAGTATAATGGCATAATCACAGCTCACTGTAGCCTCGACATCCCTGGACTCAGATGATCCTCTCACCTCAGCCTCCCAGGTAGCTGGGACTACAGGTGTGTGGCACCATGCCTGGCTACTTTTGGTACTTTTTATAGAGATGAGGTTTTGCCACATTGCCCAGGCTGGTCTTGAACTCCTCAGCTCAAGTGCTCCACCCACCTCAGCCTCCCAAAGTGCTAGGATTACAGGCATAAGCCACCGTGCCCAGCCTCTAACAGGAAATTTTAAACTTACACCATCAACATAAAAAAGGATTTTAAGCAAGCACAATGGACTCAAATTAGTAATTTTTCTCTGGTGGGTATTGAAAAGGCAATTGATTAATAAGACTATAAAGCCAGAAGAGATTTTAAAAAATTATGACTCGAATATGATGCTTGACAGAAAGATAAAACATTTTATTAACTATGTGTATACTAAATATTTATCTGATGAAAACAAAATGTCCTGGATAAAGTACCTGCAAACTTTTTTGCTTGCAATTCTTTTACTTCGCCTTGGTGCACCTGCAGTGATCAAATGGTTTCCACCACTGGGTACAGGAGAGAGTGAACTCTGAGATGACCCTTCTGAGTTTGTATCGATGTGAACTATGAAAATAACCACATGTAATATACCACGCATACCTATTTTCCTTTTAAAGTATAAAATAGTAATAGCTGCAATTAGATTCAAAGCCTTAATTTCTATACCAAGCAACAACTGAAATCACTTAATTTCTGGTTAGAAACTTCAAGTGTCAAATAACCCAACTCAGCTAAGAAAAAGCATTCATTTCTTACTTTTGATTTGCCAATTAAAGGTCAGATTAAGCATTACTTTTATATTAGAGCTTTTCTGTAAAATCTTGTAATAATACAAGGCAGGGATAGGCACCATTGCAGACTGGAAAAAAACAAGATTTGGAGACAGGCTTGAGTTTGCTCCATCACTTACTAAATGGCTTTAGGCTCTGAAAATGGACTTCTATGATGAATATTACTGTTATCTGTATAAAATATTTAGTAAGTATCTAGTACATAATACTAATTAATGGTATTATAAAAAATAAGCTATTGGCAAACAAGTTGGAATCTGAATATTTGAGATACACCTGCTGGCCAACTGCTACCCACCTGACTCCAGAATGTAATTTGTTCAATATTTTTGGCAAGTAAACAAAAACTAATTATTCCATAACATGTCTAATCACTTGGCTGCGGCTGTGTTCCATTCAAATAATTATTGGTACAACAGAAGCTCGATTTAATTATTTAACACCATTTATATTATGAAATCAACTACAGTAAACAATTATGAAAGAAGTAAAATAGTTATGAACAAAGGCACCATATACACTTGACTTATGTTTGAATCATACCCAGGACACATTCAACAAACATGAACCCTCTCAATTCATCTGAGTTATTAATAAAGAATTCACAAAGTTTCCCAAACAGACACATTCACATTTTTTCAATTATGAAAACAGAAAAAATACGACCATCATAGTAACTTTTGGGTACATTTAGCGAAAGAAAATTTTGGAAGCCAATATTATACATCTGAAGTGACATAAGTAGCTTTATTCTAGGGCTGTAGTCTAGTCACTTTAAAAATGTGTCCAGCCAGGCACAGTGGCTCACTTCTGTAATCCCAGTATTTTGGGAGGCTGAGGTGGGCGGATTGCTTGAGGCCAGGAGTTCAAACTAGCCTGGCCAACATGGTGAAATCCCGTCTCTACTAAAAATACAAAAATTAGCTGGGCGTGGTGGTGCATGCCTGTAATCCCAACTACTCGGGAGGCTGAGGCACAAGAATTGCTTGAACGTGGGAGGTGGACGTTGTAGTGAGCCAAGATCATGCCACTGTACTCCAGTCTGGGAGACAGAGCGAGACTCCGTCTCAAAAAATAAAAATAAAAAAAAGTGTCAATGGTCGCAGGAGACACAGTCAGAATATATGGAACAACGCAAATTTATCACATACATAAGAAAATTATGGGCCGGGCGCGGTGGCTCACGCCTGTAATCCCAGCACTTTGGGAGGCCGAGGCGGGCGGATCACAAGGTCAGGAGATCGAGATCATGGTGAAACCCCGTCTCTACTAAAAATAGAAAAAATTAGCCGGGCGCAGTGGCGGGCGCCTGTAGTCCCAGCTACTGGGGAGGCTGAGGCAGGAGAATGGCGTGAACCCGGGAGGCGGAGCTTGCAGTGAGCCGAGATTGCGCCACTGCACTCCAGCCTGGTCGACAGAGCGAGACTCCGTCTCAAAAAAAAAAAAAAAAAAAGAAAAAAGAAAATTATGGCCAGGCGTGGTGGCTCACACCTGTAATCCCAGCACTTTGGAAGACCAAGGCAGGTGGATCAGCTGATGTCAGGAGTTCAAGACCAGCCTGGCCTTATGTGGTAGAACCCTGTCTCTACTAAAAATACAAAAGAAAATCAGCCAGGTGTGGTGGCAGGCACCTATAATCCCAGCTACTTAGGAGGCTGAGGCTGGAGAATTGCTTGAACCTGGGAGGTGGTGGCTGCAATGAGCTGAGATCGTGCCATTGCACTCTAGCCTGGGCAACAAGAGCAAAACTCTGTCTCAAAAAAAAAAAAAAAAAAAAAAAAGGAAGAAAATTATGAATAGATACTCTGTGGACTACAGACTAATGTTGCCTTTATATATTTTAAAAAGCATCATATTTGTTACAATCTAAACACAGAAATCAATCTATTTTCAATTTTGCATATGGAATTTGTTGAATTGTAGCTGAGAAAGTAGGGTCAAAGAAAAATGGTGTAAAAATAATAGAATTACTGTTGTTGAATTTTTAAATTTTTTTATAAAGAAAATTCACTGATTAGGCAAGCTCAAACTAAAAACAGCATGGATTGTTTAACCTGTTTTGGGAGCTTGGAGGAGGAGAAGAAGGAATCAGTATGTTCATCTTGGGGAAGATGCAATGCTAATAAGCAAAGGCAGGTAGAACTACAATTCCCATTTGCCATTTGGAAAACGTCCTCCAAACTGCAAAGCCTCTTAAATATTCAAAAAAAAAAAAAAACTGAACTATGTGACTTAAAAAAGTTTAAGTCTCCAACCTGTGAACACTCCAAAAGCTATAGACATAAGCTTCAGAGTTACTATCATCACATTTCAATGAGCCCTAGAGAACCTGTGAAGTGGTTTCTTCTGGAAAACCTCAAGTTGCTATTCTGTTCAACTTCTCAATAAAACAAATAAGAACCCTTTTGGACAACAGAAAAAAGAGAGGCTTTGGGGAAGAACTCATATAACTCAGATAATGAATTAAAAATGAAACTTAACATTGTCTGAAACCAACAAAATAAAAATCTAAAATAATCAGAGATCACTCACATTTTGACTAAATGTAAAATAAATGAGATGGAGGACCCTGGGTTTAGAGTTTCATTTCATTTTTGGTTGATCATAAGGTTAATATAAGCCAACTTGAATTCTGTATATGCTAAAAGAGCCAATTTAATCTAAGACCCAGACTAATCTTCGGATTAGCGTGATCATATTCTATTATTCTCCGAAGGCTCTCGTTGGCCACATTAGAACTTGTTGTTAATTTGGAAGAAAATGGCTGGGCTGGTAAGGGATCTGGAAGCCATGGCACAAGGAACAGCGTCAACAAAGTTCTAAAGCTTTTACAAAAGGTACTTGAGTCTAAAACTTTAAAAATACCCTCATTTTCAAACCTTAACCTGCAATAGTAACACTCCCACTTGGGAATCAGAGATGATCAAACATCTGGCAACCTCAATTCAACAAATGACAGCAATAAAGCCACAGCTATAGACCCAGAAGTACCTATAGCAGGATTCAGGATGTCTAATCACATAAAACCTAAGCACCAATGCTATCACCAGAAGCCCAAACTACTACTCTGGGTTATCATAACTTTCAATAGATGTAGTCATAACACACACAGATACACACACACACTATATTTGAAACAGTGTCTATTGTAAAAGGCAAGCGGTTTTATAAAAATTCATAAATTTGATAAAACACAGAATAAAGTTGTAGTTCCTTATGGTGGTATTATTCATATGAAATTGCACTGTGCCTGGAATAGGCACCCATTTTAATGTTTACAATTCATTTATATAAATTCTATTTGCTACCTGATACTGGTGTAGAACTGCTATTGAAGAGATTACTTGGCAACAGCTCAAAGTTAAAATTATGCTTGATGGACTTCCTTTTCTTACTTGAGAAACCATGAGAAGAATCTACTGGCAATTTACGTTTAGCATTTGGTGTAAGAATCACTGGTGATACAGACAGCTGGGCTGAAAAAATATCAAAACAAAACCAACTTGTTGTTTCTACTGCAGAGTTGACAACATACAAAAGCTTTACATAATTTCTTCTTATAAAGCTATTACTTAAAGCTAAACAAAAAATGAGGATATATTTACATTATCAGTTAAACAGATGTTAACTAAAACACTCTGCAATTCCTTAAATGAAAATAAGGAAGTCGCAGAGGCAGGACTCTTAAGAGAGAGCAGTTACTTAAATCTAATAGACTAAAAGATGCATATGATATATATTAAAAAATATTAATTTAAGGAAGAAATTACAATCAAGGAGTTGAAACAAAAACTAATCTAAATATTATTTTTGCTTTTCATCATAGCTGAGTATTAACCAGTTCATTTCTTCATTCTAGAAAAAAAAAGATCATGTTGCCTCTTACTGGCTGAATAATTGCAGCCACAGCAAATTAGGATAAAAAGTTGAAATACACAATAATGAACTTCTAGTCCTAAGATAAAAATGAGGTTGAACTATTTTCACATGCTCAATAGCATCTAAATTACAAACAGAAAAGCATGATTAAGAAGATTAAAGCCATAACAGACTAAAAAAATTTTTGCCTACAACGCTGGGTTCATTACAGCCTATGTAATTAGCAATGTCACAACATAGTATATATAGTACAGTATGTCTATTAAAAATAATATTTGATTTGATTAAATTTGATTAATATAAATTAGATAATTATTATTATAATTATATTTTATAGAATACTATACAAATTTTAATTAAAATAAATGCATATAATAAATACCTACCAATTCTTTCTTGTTGAGGTGTAATAGAAGGTGTTCTGTTAGATTTAAATTTATTTAGTGCTCCACTAACAAAATCTGAAATGCAAGGCATAAGCAATTACAACTTAACATTTACTTGTCTTGCACCAATAATTCATATTAACATTTGCGGTCTTTGTTCAACATGTAACTTTACATCGGCTTATAAATTTTAAGTTATTTAAGAGGAATTATTTCAAAATAGGAAAAACATTAAAGGACATATTTTTATTCATTCCCCACTTATACTTCCATATCCCTAAAAAAAAAAAGAAAAAAAAGACAATACAGAAAGAAATGTAATACAAATATACATAATGTACAGTAAGGGTAGGGAATAAGAAATCATTACATGTTAAGGCAAAAGATGAAGGTCTGAACTGAGGCAAGAACCATGGAAATGGAGGCATGAATAAAGATATTTAAAAGATCAGTAGAGATGGAAGTAAAAACATTGTATCAATAAATAATGTAAGCAAATGAATAAAAGTGTATGGAAAACAATAAATAACATAGTTTGACTAAAGTTGCTCAAAGACAGGAAATAGTAGACAGGTATGCTAGAGTAATCCTATGAAAGACCTTGAATGCCAAGCTATAAATATCACTATTATCAATTAAAATTCCTGAAGGGTATGTGTGTGAGATACTTGAGTAGAGTTATACATTTAAAATGTAGGCCTTGGCCAGGTGCAGTGGCTCACACTTGTAATCCGAGCATTTTGGGAGGCCGAGGCAAGCAGATTACTTGATGTCAGGAGTTAGAGACCAGCCTGGCCAACGTGGTGAAACCCTGTTTCTACTACATATACAAAAATTAGCCAGGTGGGGTAGTGTGCACTTGTAATCCCAGCTACTTGGGAGACCGAGGCAAGAGAATCACTTGAACCCAGGAGGTGGAGGCTGCAGTGAACCAAGATAGCATCACTGCACTCCAGCCTGGGTGACAAAGAGAGACCCCGTCAAAAAAAAAAAAAAAAAAAAAAAAAAAGTGAGCCTTAATAGCAATACACAGGGTAGATTCAAGGAGGAAGCATAAAGACCAGATTCTTTTTTTTATTTTTACTTTTAATTAATTTATTTTTTTGAGACAGAGTCTCGCTCTGTCGCCCAGGCTGGAGTACAGTGGCACGAACTCAGCTCACTGCAACCTCTGCCTCCCAGGTTCATACCATTCTCCTGCCTCAGCCTTCCGAGTAGCTGGGACCACAGGTGCCCGCCACCACACCCAGCTAATTTTTTACATTCTTAGTAGAGACGGGGTTTCACCGTGTTAGCCAGGATGGTCTCCATCTCCTGACCTCGTCATCTGCCCACCTTGGCCTCCCAGAGTGCTGGGATTACAGGTGTGAGCCACCGCACCCAGCCAGGAAGATTCTTACAGTAACGATGCAATAAACATTACAGAGATAGAATCTTATACGACATGAAAACTGTCTGATAATAGATGTTAGAGGACGAGGTGGAACCCACGGTTAAAGCCTGAGTATCTAGGGAATAGTGGTGCAGTTAGAAGAAAATGGAATTCACACAGAACCAGGTTAAAGAGGATGAAGATGGTCATTTCAAAATGTTAAGCTTAAAACACCAATGAAAAGCAGATGTGATGAGGTCTGCCTAGCAGGCCGTTAGTAAAGCGGAACTGACATTTTCAAGATAACGGTTGTACATATGTGATGGTTATCTATTTAGATGTGATAACTGCACCTACAGGACTGGGAAGAGGGCGATCAAGACGATCTGCATCTGAGAAATATCTCCATTTGGGATAGGAAGTTTTATGGGTTGCATGTGTTCTCCAAAAAACCTATGTTTAAGTCCTAACCCCCAGTACCTATGAAGGTGGCCATACTTGGAATTAGTGTCTTTACAGATGTACTCGAGCTAAAATGAGGTCATTCAGGTGGGCCCTAATCCAATGTGTCCTATAAGACGGAAGTTCTGACACAGAGCAACACCATGGGATGACATAGGCAGGGACTGGAGTGACACAGCTGCAAGCCAAGGAATGCTAAGGACTGACAGCCACTACCAGGAGCCAGAAAGAGGCAAGAAAGGATTCTCCCCTGCAGGTTTCAGGCATTCCGCCAACACCTTGATTTCAGACTTCTAGCCTCCAGAACGGTGAGACAAATTTCTGTTGGTTTAAGCCACCTAGTTTGTAGTACTTTTGCTACAGTAGCCCTAGGAAAATGATACATAAGTCATCAATATTATCCTATCTACAAAGGAGGTAAAGAAGAAACACAAGTATGCAATAACAAGCTAAAAGATGAGAAAGGGAATGGGATAGTTAGTAACATTTGGTTCTGATATTCAAAAGATAAGAAATTTCCTAAAGTAATTGGAAGAAGAATGGTCTCTGATTTCTTCATCAAGGAGATTGCAAGTTTTATTACCAACTCCACCATCATAAAACTTTTGGTCTTTCTGATTCTTCCTTGATAATATTTCCTTCATTATTTAGTTTGTACTCCTAACTAACTAATCCATGTCACTAACAAGTTCAAACAATAATCTTGTGCCTGGATTACTGACACACATTGCTGACTATTCTCCCTACTTCCAAGTCTCAATTCTTCAAATCAGGTAATTTTCTAAAAATTTTTAATCATATCATACCTCACATCATAAATCTTCAATGACTCACCAACACCCAGGTTAATATTCTAATTCTTTAGCCTGGCATTAAGTTTACCACAATACCATCCTTCATCCTTATGCTGAACACTTCACTCAAGTCATACTGCTGCATTTACGTTAGACCTAGGTTACTTCTTCCCTACACAAACCTTTCTTCATAGCATCCTTCTCATTTAGAATAGGATACAAGTATTCTGATCCTCCACCCAATCCCACTAAATTCTACCCATTATTCAAGAAGGTTCAGTTTGACTCCTCTTTGACAAGTTCCTGATCGTTACAACCCAGGGAACTTTTCTCCTTTTAACATATTTTATATTTATGCTAGAGATTTAGCACTTAACATTAGATTGTATTATCGCTTTAACTTTTTACATCCATACGTCCTAGCTTTCCAGCTGTGCTATAAGCATCAAAAAGGCACATACCACAATTCATGTTTCTTTACGTGAAATGTACTTTCAATTAAAGCACATCACTGTACCTCCATAAAATGCGACTGCCACTTACCTCCTACACTTTGTCTTCTCTTTCTCTTATATTCACCAGGAGTTTCATATTCACCTTCTTCAAAGCCTTCCAGTGATGGAGTAGCACAGAGACCATCAATACCCAACATAGCTGGTATCTTTTCCAGGATAAAATCTGGTACACACCCTAAATGAAAATGTTCACAAATAAGACAATTATTATCCTTCCTCCACTCTTCCCCAAAAATGTTGACATAGTAATATACCAATTTCTTTTCTTTTTGTCTTTGCAGGAGGGGCCGGTACTGTGGGTGGGGGTGAAGTCAGTAATATACCAACTTTCTAACAGTTGCCTTCATAGTTCCTTTGGAAGAAACAGAGATTTTCCTCATTTAAACAAATTCTGCTAATAATGCAACTACATCTTACCAATATCTGATGCATAATCGATAAGAGTCTGTACTACTGCAGCCTGTAATCGTAGCTTTTTTTCTGTGTTAGAAGACATCTTTTCATGTCCTTCATTTGTCTGAAGAAGATTTGGTGCAAATATTACTGCAAGATTGCTGCTATCCATCTTATTCTCACTGGATCTTAAGTGAATAAAGGCTTTATTAGATGGAGTCCAAGGTAAAAACATAGAAGAGTTAAAATCACGGATGTAGTACATTTTGAAGACCTCTTACTATCCGTCATACACAAGGGAAAATAGTTACCCTTCATCTACATGATTGGCTTGAACACAAAAAAGAACCAGAAATATATAGCCTCTCTATATTTAAATATGTATTCTAAAAACCATGCTAATCTTAGAGTTCATACTTTGCTTTTCCACAGAAATTGAACATCTTTATCTGATTTTCAAACCTACACATAAAAAGCTGGAAGTATCAGAAGGCAGCAAGATGTCTAGAATAAGTAGGCTCACTGAGAGCAGGGAGAGGGAACTTTTGAAAAGCAAAACGGAAATATTTAAACAAAGCCTTTCAGTGGACAATGAATGTTATAAACAGCAATGAACCATTAAGGCATTCATGATGATGACTTTAAGATAAGGAAATATTAAATCATTTGGTATGCTGTTTCTTAAATTACACAGAGTATACTCCTCATAGTAAAGAAATATGTAATTTTTAAAGAAAAATTTCCATTCCAAATAAAATGGAACATATCTACAAGCATTAAACATTAGTTAGTTGAAAAATTCAACTATTATTTGCCAAGAGTTTTAATTACCACTTACCTAAGAGAAACATTCCTGAGGAAGTTAAAGAAGTATCTTAATACATGAACTGTGTGGTCAGCCAGAAGACAGGAGAGCAACAGTGTAGCTTTATTCTTTTCCTCTGTGCCTAACTGTTGAGCTTTCAAAAGTGCTTCATGCAAATCAGCTGGGAGAATGGGCTCTGGCAATTCCCTAAAAAATTGCTTAAGAAGTCCTGCAACATCACAAGGAGGTGCAGAAGATAGGCAACCTTCACCACTATCCAGTTTATTCTGAAATAAATATAATAATCTTGAGTATTTTGGCAACTTAAGAGTTTATTGCAAATAAAGTATCTTTTTTTATACTCTAATAAGTTTTATTTAATAAATTTCTCTTAACTCATTTTAAAATATGTCACTACTTTATTTTTAATGATTTTTAAATTTATTTTTATTTTTATAGAAATGTGGTGCAGATTTTGTGGCCTGGGTTGGCTTCAAATTCCCAGGCTCAAGCAATTTTCCTGCCTCAGCCTCCCAAGTAGCTGGGACTACAAGCATGTGCCACCATACTCAGCTATGTCACTCCTTCTAGAAGGCTAACAATACAATTTAACAAATTTTTTCATTTTACGTAATAGTTGATAGAAATAAGGACCATGAACTTAAAAGTTATTAAATTTTTAAAGCACGATAGAAATAATATACCATTTCTTTTGGGAAAAAAATTCTTCTGCCATGAAAAATATGCAAATTCAATTTCTGTCAACTACTCATATTAATAGTTCTAAATATTTCAGTTTTAAAAACCAAATCAGAAAATGGTTCAAATGAAAAATTATAGCTCAACAATATGCTAACCTTTAGTGCTTTTAGGCGAATCACAGATCCTGATTTCCGAAAAAGCCCTTCGGTATGAATATGTTCTTCTAAAGATGTGCAAGCATCGACAAGAAAGCTGAAAGAGACCTTTTTTTTAGTTGGCTAGATATACATCTTATCAAATCCTATTCCTCTGCTAACATACGAGCAGGCCAAGCACTACATACCTTTCAGAAGCTCTGAAGTCACAAATCTCTGTAGTCTTTGAGACAAAATGTTACTTTTAGTTGTCTACTTGCTTCCCAAATTCTTTTCCAAGGCCCGTCTTTTCACTCATAACGACTCCAATGTGCACACTAAATTTTATCTCAATCCTACTTCATTTCTGTTTCCCTTCAGGACATAAGACTTGTCTTTTTTTTACTGCCTCTACTTCTTCATATGTCTGTACTCACCCCTCTCCAATCATTCTCATACCTCATAACTCCAAAGCAATAGCTGTCTTCAAGCTCACTAACAGCCTCTGCCTTGCCAAATCCATGGTCAGTATGTTGCTCTCATATTGCTTGATGTATCACCATCTGACACACCTGACCCCTTCCCTGTTCATCTCAAAAATACCTTTTCACTACTCTGTTACTTTTCCTGCTGTCTCCCTGACTGCTCCTTCTCAAACTCCTTTTCTCATTCCTCTCATGCCAGACCTCTACATGCTGGAACAACCCAGGGCGCCGTCCAACACCTTCCTCTTTTGTCTACTATCTCTCCATGGGTGACCTTCTCATCTCCTACATTACCCAAAAATAGGGCAACGTTCTTTTTTTCCTCACCCCAACATCATCCCTCAGAAAAGTAGGACCTATCCCAGTCCTTATAAGCCTTTTCATATTAAGGGGAATGTGCCCAATTTCTTTATTTTGAATAATAATCTCAATCAATGTTGGCTTTAGATACCTAGATACTGAACAGCTGGCACCCACAAATTAGAATGAATATCAGATACAAACAACTGAGACAGCAGTACTGGTGCAGTGGCTGAATGTCAGCCTTATTTATAGACAGTAACTGACAATACAGTCTTTTAATTAAATAAAAAGTAGGTAATGAAATTACAATGAAGATTTAGTCATTATTCCTGGGAATATGACTTTGCAATTCCAGACGCTGAAAATCTGTTGTTGTTGTTGTTTTTAATTTTTTTTCTTTCCGTTTTTATTTTGAGACAGGGTCTTGCTCTGTCACCTAGGCTGGAATGATGCAATCACTGCTCACTGCAACCTTTGCCTCCTGGGCACAAGTGATCCTCCCACCTCAGCCTCCCGACTAGCTGGGACTCTAGGCACACATCACTACACCCAGCTAATTTTACTATTTTTTGTAGAGACAAGGTTTCACCATGTTGCCCAGGCTGGTCTTGAACTCCTGGGCTCAAGCAATCCACCACCTGGGACTCCCTAAGTGCTGGGATAACAGGCATGAGCTCCTGTGCCCAGCCTGTTGAAATCATTATAGGTGCTTATTATAAGAAAATCAAGCCTTTCATAGGTCATTTACAGAGCATAATAGTTAAGCGGTTACCTAAGAAGACTATGAATCTACACCTATAGGATGAATGGGGGGAAACTGCCCTAAGGCAACAAGGTGTTCAATAATTGCTTTTGGATGACATATCAATTAAAACCTAGATTATTGGTCTATAGTAGCCAAAAGGAACCCTACTTTAGATGGAGGGGAAATGAATTAAGAGATAAGTTTCATCATATGCATTTTTAAATTATATTCTTAAAACATAAACTTTCCTAGTAATTTCCGATGCAGTTAGAATAGGCCAGCACAGTGGCGCACACCTGTAATCCCAGCACTTTGGGAGGCTGAGGTGGGTAGATCACCTGATGTCAGGAGTTTGAGACCAGCCTGGCCAACACGGTGAAACCCCATCTCTACTAAAAATACAAAAATTAGCTAAGCGTGGTAGTGGACACCTGTAATCCCAGCTACTCGGGAGGCTGAGGCAGGAGAATCACTTGAACCCAGGAGGTGGAGGTTGCAGTGAGCCGAGATCATGCCATTGTACTCCAGCCTGGGTGACAAGAGTGAAACTGTTTCAAAAAAAAAAAAAAAAAAAAAAAGTTATTTATAAATAGTGAGTGGCATAGAAAAACTAAGTGATACATAATACATTTTCACAAACACTCTAATATCTTAGCTTAAATATTCTTTTATCCAATATTTCTTTTCAAGAGACAGGGTCTCATTCTCTTGCCAACGCTAGAGTGCAGTGGCAATGGTCGTAGCTCACTGCAGCCTCAAACTCCTAGGGTCAAACAATCCTCTGCCTCAGCTTCAGGAGTAGCTGGGACTACAGGTGCACACCACATTGCCCAGCTGATTTTTCTTTAAAATTTTTTTATAGATGGAATCTTGCTTTGTTGCCCAGACTGGTCTCAAAATCCTGGGCTCAAGCGATCCTCCTGCCTCGGCCCTCAAAGTGCTGGGATTATAGGCATGAGCTACTATGCGTGGCCAATATTTTTTAAACAAACAAACAAAAAGTCAAAATTATTACTGAATTGGTAATTCAGTATATTACTTAATCTGAGTTGTGGCAAAAGAATTCATATAGAACTGAAAAGTGACTTTAACAGAACAGATTTTTTTTTGTGATTTCTAACATTTACTCATTACTGGACTTTAAAATCCAATTCTGGGAAGGGGTTCAAATTATAAATTTAAAATATGTAAAAGTTAAAAAAATTTTTTTAACATTAGCTAATGAGAGATGAAATCATTTGTAGGTTTGAAACAAGTATGTTTTAATCAGCGATTTCTTTTAAACTCTCTAAAACCAGTTTGAAATGTTTACTCTCTTCTTCATTTCCCTGGCTAGAAGGCTCACTGCAGCCTCCCCCTCCTGGGCTCAAGCAATCCTCCCACCTCAGCCCCCGGAGTAGCTGGGACTACAGGTGTGCTCTGCCCAGCTAATCTTTGAATCTTTTGCAACAAGGTCTCACAATGTTGCCCAGGCTGGTCTTGCAGGCTGGTCTTGGGCTCCTAGACTCAAGTGATCCGCCCACCTTGGCCTCTCAAAATGCGGGGGTTACAGGCATGTGCCACTGTGCCCGGCCTTCTTTATTTCAAATTCTGCTTACCTTGGAATGTGTCCATATTCTGGTACAGCAGAATGGGGCAGCGCATTAAAGGGTACTCCAAATATTTTACCCTAAAATGACAAATTCAGTTACTCTAACACAAATATGAGGCATAATATCAGTTTTCTTAAACTTTAGGCAAATTAAAGACCTCGGAAAATTTTTAAAAAATCAGAAATAAATGATAAACTGTCAATCAAGGAAAAAACAATCATTTCAAGTGCATTCGATAACAAATAATTACCATATTAGACAGTATGCTAAGTGCTGGGAGTACAAAGATGGCCAAGATAATGTCATTCCCCTCAAATAATCTAGTAAACTCAAGTTTCCAATCTGATCATAAAAAATCAATTGGGTTAGTGCTTAGTAAATTATTAAAACAGAATTTGGTCCAAAACACTAAGATTTACCCCAAAAATACTATAGGTTCCTTTAATGACATTACATATACTGACTATATACTTTCTTTTGCTCACCTTATAAACACACAAAAGACTAAGTTAACTGAAAAGCAAAACAGTAATTCCTGTCATTCATTGAGTCTTCCTAAAATTATATCAGAAGAGGTTATTTTTATACCTAAACCATTTTCCACCTTCTATAGAAGAGTGTTTTTCAAACCATGCCCTGAGGTAAGCAAGGCAGGGGTGTGCAAATATTTAAGTCAAACTTCATTCAACTAGCTGGAAACCCATTTTTAAAACCTCACATTCAAATTTTAATACACTGAAGATCCCGAGAGTAAAGCTGTGTGTTGGTTAACTTGAATGTTTTTGCACACTGAAGAATAAAGAATCTGCCACTATCTTTGTGCGCACATTCGAACTTCTTAAAAATGTGTTGCTTTCCATAGCACTGAAAGGTAAATTCAAGCCTGTAAATGTCTGGTTATTCAAAATTAAGTGGGTATATAATCTCACGTGTTAATTTAGTTTACATGCATCTGTTCTGTGAATGCTGCTTAAGTACTTTTTTTCGATATCACAAGTTATCAAGCAAGCAGCATTGATGTTTTAAGAGCATAAAATTTAACTTTATATTTACAATAAAAATCACTCAGCATTGTTAATGACACAACACAGTAACAAAATTTTACTAATTCTTTTTCAAGCGCCTGGCTCCAATTAATTTACAAACATTTTAAGCTGAAAAGACAGTATGGTATAGTGAGTGCTTAAGAGAGTAGGCTCGTAAAGGCAAAAAAGCCAGGCCTTTTTTTTTTTTTTTTAATTGGAGACGAAGTCTTGCTCTGTTGCCCAGGCTGGAGTGCAGTGGCGCAATCTCAGCTCGCTGCAAGCTCCGCCTCCCGGGTTCCCCATTCTCCTGCCTCAGCCTCCCAAGTAGCTGGGACTACAGGCGCCCACCACCATGCCCGGCTAATTTTTTGTGTTTTTAGTAAAGACGGGGTTTCACCGTGTTAGCCAGGATGGTCTCGATCTCCTGACCTTGTGATCCACCCGCCTCGGCCTCCCAAAATGCTGGGATTACAGGCGTGAGCCACCGTGCCCGCAAAAATGCCAGGTTTTAAATCTTGACTCATACTTATCAGCTGAGTGACCTGGATCAAATTAACGTTTTGTTCCTCAGTATCCTAACACAGATCCTAAGTCATAGGGGTGTAGGAAGAATTAAATAAATTAAAACATACAAAACACTTGTATCAGTGTCTGACACAGAATAAGCATTCAAAACATATTTGTTAATACTATGATCATCATTTTAAGCTGAGCTATTTAAAAAATGTTAGTATGGGCAACCCCTTTATTGGGTAAATCAGAATTTTCTTGATACTGTGCAACCGAACCAAATGTAAAAATAAACCAGATACTTAAGCTGGTAAGTATACTTCTGTTCTATGTAATTAGAATTCAGCATGTTTTCTTCCTTAAGTCTTATTATTTAGAATAACTGGCTTCACAAGTAACCACTATAATTTAATCTCATAAAATGTTTTTAAAACTTTATGTATTAGAATCTCACCTATAGTATCATTTTTAAAAAGATTTATAGTACTTTTCTTTAAAAGCTCAAAAACTACAATTAGCTAACAAACACAGTGGGCTAAAGAAATTGTTTTCAAACAAACTATCCCATTAGATCTCATAACACAACGATCTTCTATATTGCTTCACTAGAATATTCTCGTGTTTTTAGCTGAATTTATATGGCATGATTACCAATTAGGAGGCAGACCATTGATATGACAACTATCATTAGATGAAGAAGTGGCCTGTGACACGCACTGTGCTAGGCCTACATAAAGAGCTTCACTTTTTAAAAATTCCTAAACAATTCAAGGAGAAATACCACTGTTCCCACTTTATAGATCGAAAACTGAAGTTTAGGGAAATCAAACAAGCAGCCCAAGTTTACAGAGGTAGCAGGGGTGGAACAGGACTCAAACTCAGGTCTATCTGACTCTGAAAGCAGGCATCAGTTTTTCTTATTGACGAGTGAAAAGGCCGGGCGCGGTGGCTCACGCCTGTAATCCCAGCACTTTGGGAGGCCGAGGCGGAGGGATCACGAGGTAAGGAGATCGACGCCATCCTGGCTAACACGGTGAAACCCCGTCTCTACTAAAAATACAAAAAATTAGCCGGGTGTGGTGGCGGGCGCCTGTAGTCCCAGCTACTCGGGAGGCTGAGGCAGGAGAATGGCGTAAACCCGGGAGGCGGAGCTTGCAGTGAGCTGAGATCTGGCCACTGCACTCCAGCCTGGGCGACAGAGTGAGACTCCGTCTCAAAAAAAAAAAAAAAAAAGAAAATGAAGAAAGAAAAGGGGTGAAGGGGTGAAAAGAAGTCCATATACAAACTCTTCCATATACTTACAAAATCAGCTACATTTGAGATCTTGGAAAGCCAGTTTTACAATCGAAATCACTGTAGCTTTTTAAATGTAAGTACATGTATTGCCATTAATTTGCCACCAACAAAAATAACTTCTCCAAAGTGTATCAGCGACTAAGAGGTACACATATTAGTTTTGTTGGCGGTTTTCTCCTCCAAGCACTTTTTTAAAGAAACCATAAACGATTAAGAGCAATGTATATTAATTTTATTAGCTTGTCTCCAAGTACTAGGAAGTGCCATAGAAATTAGGCGCATAAATTTAAAATAAAATGCTTTACATTCAGCTTATTTTTCACAATGGAATTCTTGATGACGTGGCAGAGCTATTAAAATCTCATTCAAAATCCCTTTACCTCAACCACCAAAACATCAACAACTTTTTAATTATTCCACTCTGGCTTCTCAATTTACTCAAATAAAAAAAAAATTCCTGTCTCAAAAGTATGACATGGCCAAGCAGCAAACTTATTTCTCAAATTGGTGAATACGCAGTTATCATTTGAAGCCTATTTCTAATGTTCTGTCATACTTCTTCATCTACGGATTCTTCTTAGAAAATGCACTGGTCTCCCTTGTTCCTCTACAACCTTACTCTAAAACAAGGCTGGAGGGATAGAGTTTTTGTCCCTCCCAACGTACTACCTGTTCCAAATACAGTAAGCTGGCAATATCTGGAGACATTTTTAATTGTCACAACCGAGAGATGCTACCAGCATCTAGTGGGTAAAAGACAGACATCCCGCTCAACATCCCACAATTCACAGAACAGCATTTATCAAAATGCTGATTAACAAAAATTATCTAATCCAAAATGTCAATAGTGCTGAAGTTGGAAAATCCTGCAACTTTCTCTCAATGATCAAAAATCCTTGGGGGAAAAAAACCCACCACCACCACCACCAAGAAGGTCCCTTTTTAAATATCAGCAATCGACCATCCGAACTGAATTACACACCTAACCATTCTTTTTGATACACAGAGTGAACATTTGAGCACGATCTGGTACTAAGTGACGATAAAGGGTGTGCCCTTTCTTTTAAACCTAAATCAATTTTCACAGAACTTACCCCTATTTCCGTGGCTGCTGTTTCGTGTCTCCTGCGATCACACTGCCCACGGACACCCTTCACCTTAATACCATAGAAGGCCCGCAGATGCTGCAACAGGGCCAACCTCACCAGCCTCTGATCCCACATCCCGGACACGTCGATCGCTCTCCGAGGCAGGATACAGGTCCTGACCCTCGTTCGCCACCAGGTCTTCCAATTTCCAAACGCTCTCAAATCTGAACTCCGCTCCGCTGCCTTCCGGCCCCGTCTGGCACTCTTGCGGCCCCGAACCCCGGCCACTTCCACGGCTTTTCCCTGATCCTCACTTACATCCACTTACACAGACCCTCTTCTCTTAGCCCTTTGATCCAGCCACACCTCACTCTTCCTTCACTTACACCGACCTTCTTTCTGGTCACTCAATCCTTTCAGCTACTCACATAGACTTCGCTTCTTTTTATTCTTTCCGTTTCTCGCCTATTGCCAGATTCTCACCACTTCCGGCTGCTTCCAACGATCCCCCCTTCCTCCAAACCTTACTGTCCCCGTCTGGTTCGCTCTGAAATGTGAAGAGCACCCTTCTCGCTCCTCCAGCCCCAGCAGGCTCAACTGGGCGCTCGCCCCCGCCCCAGCCTGCCGCCGGACCAGCCGGCTGCTCAGGCAACTCTTCCAGTCCCGGTGCCCGCCCGGGCTGGTGGCCGCAGTCACCCCGTCTCACAGGCTGCTCGTTCCCTCCCCCATCAGCCTGCCTCTAGCTCCCGGCCTGCACATCCCGGTGCGCTCACTGAAGCCAAGCCGTTAGCCTCATGCTTCCGCCCCCACCTCCTCCGCAGACACCCGGAGCCACCACGGCCGTCACGCCCGCAGTTTCAGCCCAGGCTCAAACTGCAGCGCCAAACAGCGCTCCACATCTGATTGGTCCACTCCTCTTTTCAAAATCAGGACCCCGGAGGGTGGCCGAGAGCTGCCTGTCTTGGTAGGTGCGGGGGAAGGGGTGTAACGGGCAAACCCAGCAAACATGAAAAGTAGGATGAGTTTCACTTGTTCCTTCAAGGTCAGTTTTTGGGGCGGGGGAGTACTGTTTAAAGGATATTTAAATACACCTGACCTGCGCCTCAGATCATACACGGTATTTGAGGAAATGTAAAAGACACCTTGTTCCCGTTTTTTTCCGAGCTCGGCTGTCGCTGAAGGACCTCTTACGAAGAAACTGTTCTACGGAACCCCAGGTGAGACAACTTGAGACAGGATTCATAAACGCTGATTTTAGTAACCCTTACCCACGGCCCTTGGTGGGAACTTCGGCTCTGTGAGAATTGGTCTTTGGGGGACTGATGGTGATGCTGAAATCTTGTTGCATAGGAAATTAAGTACAACAAAGAAGACCCGTCGTGAGAGGAGAATGCGGAAGAAATGAGAAGTCTACGGGAGGTGGCAGCTGCAGAAGTTTGGAGTTGGATTTGGAGTTAGGAGACCCGGAGGGGCCCAGCTTTCGGTTCAGACAGTTATCTTGTTGACTTGCACGACTGCAAACGCCCTGAGCTACTTTTGCATTCTGAAACATCAGCGATCCCATCAAAATACTCTGTTTCTTGGGATGTAAGAAACATCCCAAGGCGAGATTTAGAGCGGGAGATTTGGACTCGATTTAAATACAGACAATATAGTATGCATTTACTAACACCACATCTCACCCCCACTAAACTTGGTAAGGGCAGCAACAGAACTTTCTGCCATGTGCACTCCTGTATTCCCATTACCAAGTAGTGCCAGGGACTAAATGAATATTTGCCCAATGAATGAGTTTTAAGGAGGAAACGTGTGCATAGAATCATTTTATTTCTTTTGGAGTTCAAGTCTTCGGGTATTTTACCCTTCCCAATCCAAAGAAAAGTCTCTGAGTGAAGCGATGGGAACAAAATGGAAGTTAAATATGTTGCTTTAACAACTGTTTATTGAACTCCTGCTATATACTATAGAATGATGAGCAAAACCAGGCACAATTTCGGCCCTGGAAGAGGAAAGGCAGGCATGTATTTATCAAGTAATTATATTAATGGGGGTACTTATCAGTTGAGAGAAGTGCACTAAGGAAAGGAAAACGATTCTGTGATAGGGTATAATAAAAGATCCTTGACCAGGGAGGGGAAACGTACCAGTGATTAAATGACCCGAAGAATCAGTATAAATTGACTTGGTAGAAAGTGTAGGTGGATGGCTGAGTGGGACCATCATTCAAGAAGTAAATGCCTGCAGAAAAAAACATCAATTTTAACAAGAAACGGTGTATCAGAGATGAAACTGAACCTATTCCTTGTCTTTTCTTCTTGCTTCAGACATAACTTCAAAAAATTGCTTACGCTGTCTCTATCCCAAACCCCACACTGTTCTGGGTTTTAGCCGTCTCAAATTTCCGTTTCTTAAAGACCCATGACTATCTTGAGTGTTGTGCCTTTTTCTTTTTTTTTTTTTTTTTTTTTTTTGAGACGGAGTCTCGCTCTGTCGCCCAGGCTGGAGTGCAGTGGCCGGATCTCAGCTCACTGCACGCTCCGCCTCCCGGGTTCACGCCATTCTCCCACCTCAGCCTCCCGAGTAGCTGGGACTACAGGCGCCCGCCACATCGCCCGGCTAGTTTTTTGTATTTTTTAGTAGAGACGGGGTTTCATCGTGTTAGCCAGGATGGTCTCGATGTGTTGTGCCTTTTTCTATGTCGTGATCCTTTTTTAAAGCTGAGCTCTTTTTGTCTCCTTTCTCTTAAGATGAAAATATTGGTTCTTTTTTTCCTACACACATGGAGGCAATGAAAATATTGGTTCTTAATATTAACATAATATTTGCTTATTTGCTTCATCTACGTATATTCACAGGTATATAAAAACAGTAACAATAGCAGTGATAGGATAAAGAATGACTAAAAACAGAATAACAATAGTGATATTACTAACATTAGACAGATAATGAAGTTTAACTTTGCACGTGCTTCCTTTTTTCTAAAACTGTATCCAACTGGGAATGTACAGTCAAGATACTATGTTGTAAATGAACTGGACATAATTCTTTTTGGTTATATATGGGTGTAGTGTAGTTTATTTAGCCAGGCTCTTACTAGTGGATATGTGGACTATTCCCAGTCTTTTGCTATTACAAAAGGTTCCTTGTGCATATATAATACGCTTTTGCCAGTGAGTCTTTAGCATAGATTTCTATAAATGGGATTGTTAGGTCAAAGGGTGAAAGAACATGTTATTTTGTTTAATACTACCAAATTCCCTTTCATAGGGGTTGTGCAATTTTGTATTCACTCCAGCAACGTTTGCTGTTTCTCTGCAGCCTCTCCAGTAGAATGAATTGTCAAACTCCTAGATGTTTGCTAAATCGATATGTAGGAAATGTTATCAAAGTATAGTTTTGTTTTGTTTTGTTTTGTTTTGTTTGAGACGGAGTCCTGACCTCAAGCGATCCACTTGCCTCGGCATCACAAAGTGCTGGGTTTACAGGTGTGAGCCGCTGTGCCCGGCCTTCAGTATAGTTTTGTACTGATCTTTTGTGAAGGAAGTGGAACATCTTTTCAAATGATGCATGCATACGACAAAGTATTATGAAGCTGTTAAGGAAGGTGGAAGATATATGACTATGATGTGAAGTGAAAAAGCAAGGCATGAAAGAGTGTATATAGTATGCTACCTTTGGTATACGGGGTGTTACAGATACATATACAAACGGATACTTATATTTTCAAAAATAAACAATAGAAAGGTAAACCAAAATCTAATAAAAATGGTAAACAATAGAAGATCAAGAACAGGTGCGGGAGAAGATAGGAATGGAAGCTAGACCTCTCTGAATAGATCTTGTTTCATATATAAACTTGGAACCCTGTAAATGTGTAACATGTTTAAAATACAAAATAAAGCCAAAATAAGGTGGTGGCTCACGCCTGTAATGCCAGCATTTTGGGAGGCTGAGGTGGGCGGTTCACCTTAGGTCAGGAGACCAGCCTGGCCAACATGGTGAAACCCTGTCTCTACTAAAAATACAAAAATAAGCCAGGCGTGGTGACGCATGCCTGTAATCCCAGCTACTCGGGAGGCTGAGACAGGAGAATCGCTTGAACCTGGGAGGTGGAGTTTGCAGTGGGCCAAGATCCGGCCACTGCCCTTCAGCCTGGGAGACAGAGTGAGACTCTATCTAAAAAAATAATAATAGGCCAGGTGCGGTGGCTCATGCCTGTAATCCCAGCACTTTGGGAGGCCAAGGTGGGCAGATCACAAGGTCAGAAGATTGAGACCATTCTAGCTAACAAGGTGAAACCCCGTCTGTACTAAAAATACAAAAATTAGCTGGGCGTGGTGGTGGGCACCTGTAGTCCCAGCTACTCGGGAGGCTGAGGCAGGAGAATGGCATGAACCTGGGAGGTGGAGCTTGCAGTGAGCCGAGATTGCGCCACTGCACTCCAGCCTGGGCAACAGAGTGAGACTGTATCTCAAATAATAATAATAATAAATAATAAAATAAAATGTAAAAGCAACTCCTAAAATGGAAAACAAAGTGCAATAAATCAATCAATCTTTTCACCTGTTTAAGGGCTATTTGTACTTCTTTTTATTTAAATTGTCCATCCTTGGACTTTAAAAATATTTTAGAGACTTTTTATATATTAGCCCCTCATAATATAAGTTGCATATATGTTTTAGACTTTTTGCCTTGCTTTTTTGTTTGTTTAAATTATAGTTAATCTCTTCCCTTAATGCTTCTGGATTCTGATCATAGATAGGAGTATTTTCCCCACTCCTGAGTTATAAAGGCATTTACTCTGTGAATTCTAGTACTTAATTTTCTAGTACTGCTATGTTTGTCATTTTTTAATATTAGATCTCTGAGGCTGGAGTGCAGTGACGCGACCTCTGCTCACTGCAACCTTCGCCTCCAGGGTTCAAATGATTCTCCTGTCTCAGCCTCCTGAGTAGCTGAGACTACAGGTGCATGCCACCACACCCAGCTAATTTTTGTATTTTTAGTAGAGATGAGGTTTCACCATATTAGTCAGGCTGGTCTTGAACTCCTGACCTTAGGTGATCTGCCTGCCTGCCTGCCTCTGCCTCCTAAAGTGCTGGAATTACAGGTGTAAGCCACCACACCCAGTCCTTAAATTTGGAATTTATCCAGTGTAGAAAGAATGGATCCAATTTTATGTGTTACCCCACACAGCTATCCAGCTGTAGACATTGTAATTTTATTTCACTTAGTGAACTCCCACACCTACTTCTAAAAGTAGGAAAACACTACTGAAAACCTCACTGAGTTGCCTGACGATGAAAAGGGAAATCATCCCTTAAGCATTAGGCTTTGCTTTTAGTGCCACTAGATGGCACACATCCTTTTCTTCAGATGTTAGCTCACCTAGCTTTCATTTCTGTGAAATCAATACATGAAGTATCTGCCAAAGGGCCTTCCTGAACCTTTTACCAGCATCCCTGCTTGAAATAAGATGATTTGTGCTACTTTCAAATTAGGTCAGAGTTTTTTTCTGTAAAACCAGAATGACTGTTCCTAGAATCACTTGCCTCTAGGGCCTGGCACATTCCACAGACACATTGTCCCATTTATTATTAAAACAGAAATGTTTGAAGAAATGTCTGTCATATTCTGTCCTAAATGTGGACCAAGATGGAAAACAGGACAGTGATTTCCTGAGGTCACTGGGGCTATCACCATAGTAGTAGACACTGGTACTTCACCTAGATCCCCCTCCAGGCTGAAGTGCTCACTGGCCCCACTGACAGGAGTGCTGGCTCCTCATGGCTCACAGCTAAGTCCCGCTCTGAGAGCTGCTCCATGGAAAGGACCTGCCTCACCCCAAGTGACGCCTTCCCTTGGGCAGTCTACATTCCATGCCTGGTTAATATGGGGTTTCATAGGCCTGGGCCCCTTATCAAGACAACTGAAGGACCTCCCAGCTCTAGAGCTTCCTGAAGGAGCAGCTGAGACGACGGAGCTTGCAGGACTGGAAGTTACTCTGGGTGAGTCAGTGAGTGGTGAGTGAACATGAAGGCGTAGGACCTTAGTGTACATTGTTATGGACTTTATAAACAGTGTATACTTATGCTACACTAAGTTTATTAAAATGTTTTCTTTCAGTAATAAATTAACCTTAGCTTACTATAACTTTTTAATTTCATCAACTTTTAAATTTTTTTTAACTTTTGACTCTTGTAGTAACAGCTCAAAACACAAACACATTGTACAGCTGTACAAAGATATTTTCTTTCTATCCATATTCTATAAGATTTTTTCTATTATTTTTATGTTTTAAACTTTTTTGTTAAAAACTAAGACATAGGACAGGCGCGGTGGCTCACGCCTGTAATCCCAGCACTTTGGGAGGCCAAGGTGGGCGGATCATGAGGTCAGGAGATGGAGACCATCCTGGCTAACATGGTGAAACACCATCTCTTCTAAAAATACAAAAAATTAGCCGGGCGTGGTGGCGGACACCTGTAGTCCCAGCTACTCGGGAGGCTGAGGCAGGAGAATGGTGTGAACCTGGGAGGCAGAGCTTGCAGTGAGCCGAGATTGCGCCACTGCACTCCAAGCCTGGATGACAGAGCGAAACTCCGTCTCAAAAACAAACAAACAAAAAACTAAGAGGGCTGGGTGTGGTGGTTCACACTTACAATCTCAGCACTTTGGGAGGCCGAGGCCAGTGGACTGCTGGAGTCCAGGCATTTGAGACCAGCCTAGACAACATGACGAAACGCTGCCTTTACAAAAAAATATGAAAAATAGCCAGGCGTAGTGACACGCACCTGTAGTCTCAG